TATAATTATTCCCCAAAATAAGATATTTTGTAAATGAATAAATGATAAGGGTACAAACAGTTTATATATTAGATACTTTACAATTTTTTACTTATAGGAAATGTTTAACAATCTGTCAAAAAAAAGAAAATTAAATTCTGATGAAAAAAAGATGTTTGTCGTCTTTTGAGTTTGCACGGAAGCAAGTGGTTTATTAAAGATCAATATATGAAAGAAACGAGTTTTCTTTAACACTTTTATATATAAGTTGCATAAAAATTCATACTTATCATACTTATGTTTACTCTACATTAAACTTTTTCTTTTTTCTTCTACTATTTTACTTTTTTTTTTTAGGTAAAAAAGGTTACTTTTTTTCTTAGGTAAAAAATTGCTCTAAAAGATCTCCATAACTTAGCCGCAAAACAGAAAGGTACCACAGATTTAAAATTACTATTTGCCGTCTTTCAAGAATGTAACGATTAGTATAAATAATTTTTTTTAAAACAATTAATGTGCAGCAAGGGAACATATTTTGATTTCATTTTGACAACACTGAAGTTTTTTTTATGATGCTTTAAATGTAAGGTAAAAAATTTGGAATTTAAATAAAAATTTGGAAGTTAAAAAGTCTTTTGGCGTAGTTGGGAAATTATTTCTGTACATATATTGATAAACTGTTAGGAACAGCATTCTTCTTAAAGAACAGAGCAATGATAAATTATTAAAAATTAGAATTAATCTTTTTTCTTCTACATTGCATTGCTCTTTATATAAGTTTGTGAAGCAAGTTGTAATATAATAATGAATATAAGGTGAATTTAAAATGATTTTAACCAAAAAAAGGCTTTAAATAATGTTTAAAGCCTTTTTTTGGTTAAAAATAACTAAATGCATTTTTTATTAGTTTGTATTAAGATTTGTTTGCATGTTTAAACAACTTTTAATTATATTCTAATTTTTTTTTTTTTTTTTTTAGTTCTACCTTGACATTCTACACTACCACATGATGTTTGTTTAGTATTCCTACTGTTGAAATATGGTTTTAACTTAGTAAATTTCTATGAATTGAAATTTTCTTTATTGATCATTAGTCATCAGTTAGTAAAAAAATTATAATCAACATTATTTAGGTAACAGCACCTTTGTTATTTTTGGCATTACAAAGTAGTTATGTACTCTTAATCATTATGTTGAGAATTTGTGTAGTAGTTTATTGACATTTAAGTAATTATTGTTTTTTGTTTCAGGTTTTGACTATTTTTATCTCTACTCTTGGAAATAATGTAGTATTCTTCAATTATATCGGAGTATACAGCTTAAATGAAATAATATAAAATCCATTTCAAACTAAAAAATTATATTTAAACTTACTTTTAACAAAATTTTTATGTATAGATGGTCTTGTTATCAAAATAAATTTTTATACTATATTAAAAAATGGCATATTACACTTACTGCAAACAACTTTTATCTACGATGTAAATGAAAATGTGAGAAAAACGCATTCAAAACTTTTTCATTTTCAAAATAAAAAGCTATAATATACTGAAATTTTTTGAAATATGGTTTTAACTTAGTAAATTTCAAAATAAAAAGCTATAATATACTGAAATTTGTTAAAATATGGTTTTAACTTAGTATGAAATATGGTTTTAACTTAGTATATAACTATGTTGATAAATCTGATATACAGATTTATCAACATAGACAAATATAGCATCGCCATGTTACTAGGTTGAGGCTACTATGTTTATGTGAATGCAGACTATGTTTTGTGAATGCAGACCCAACGCAGTAATAAAGTAGTAAACTTATCTTACTATTTACTAAATGTCAGGAAATTACAATAGTTTGATATGGCAATATAATGGCAATAGCTTGCACTTGGGGAAGTAGCTTCATGAAAAGCAGTTTCATATTCACATTTAGGGTGGAATGCAAGAAGTAAACTTGAGTCAAGTTCGACTTGAACTTTATTTTGTAACCACACTCTAAAAACAGTCCGTTAAAAAAAGTAATGGATTGCTTTTTTTTGTTAAATTAACGGATTAATTCGTTACCAAAAACCAGAAAATTAACGGAGTAAACTTAACTATTTACGGATTCTTTGAAATTTCGTTAATTCAACGGATTAAATATTCTAATCGGTCAAAAAAAAAATTTCAGTATATTATAGCTTTTTATTTTGAAAATGAAAAAGTTTTGAATGCGTTTTTCTCACATTTTCATTTTCATCGTAGATAAAAGTTGGTTGCAGTAAGTGTAATATGCCATTTTTTAAAAAGCTTTACATTTAGTAGACAAAACAAATAGATAAATATAATTTAAATTACGCTCTGTTATTTGAACTTCGAAGGTTATTTAGGTTATTTTAAATTTTCTATATAAAGCTTTATATAGAAAATTTAACCATAAGGTTTATTTTGTTTTAAATCAAAAGCCATTAGTATTACTAAATAATATATAATAACATATATGGTAAGTTAACCCATATCATATATGGTAAGTTACTACATGTCCAAATCTAAAAAATTATGCAAGAATATATGCAATCCATATAGTCTATATTATTGAAATAAAAGTTCAACTAATCCTTTACTAGTAAAAAAGGGCTAGTTGAACAATTATTTCTATAATATAGACTAAATGGATTATTTATAGTCTTTTTAACTTTTAATTTTAGACATATGACATGTAGTAACATGCCATATTATTTTAAATCAGTTGTAAAATTAAAAATGTTAACATCTTTGATAGGTATATTTATTTAGGTTAGTTACAGCTAAGTTTACATGGCTAGTTAATATGCTTTTATAAATTGCAATTTTTATTAATTTCCAAATAAAACATGTGGCATCCAATATCATAAACTAAGTTTATAGTGGTGTGTTTATATTATTTCAGAATTTTTTGTTTTAGACACATGGCATTTGCTATCCCACTGTAAGTTAAAACTAGTTGTAAAATTAAAAAATTTATATTAGAACTTCTATTTCTTTTAACATTCATGTTTATTCAATTGAGTTACAACTAAGGTTTTATATGAGTTATTTATACTATCTTAGAATTTGCTGCTTTAGTGGCACGGCATTTAGTGTCACATTGTAGGTTTAAATTGGTTATAGAATTTATATTGTAACTTGCATATTTATTTAGTTGAGTTTAATCTAAGTTTATATTTGATGTGTTTGTATTATTTTAGAATTTGCTGTTTTAGACACGTGGCATGTGGTATCCCACTGTAAGTTTGAACTTGTAAATTAAAAAAAAATTATATTTTAACTTGCATTTCTTTTGACGTTCATGTTTATATAATTAGATTACAACTAAGTTTGTGTATGGCTTGTTTATATTATTTCAGAATTTGCTATTTTAGACACTTGGTATAAGCTGTCATACTTTAAGTTTAAATTCTTTGTAAAATTTATATTGTAACTTGCATTTCTATTGGTGTGCATATTTATTTAGTTGAGTTTCAACTATTAATAACAATAACAATAATAATAAGTTTATATCTGGCGTGTTGATATTATTTTAGAATTTGCTGTTTTAGACACGTAGCTTGTGATATTCCACTGTAAGTTTGAATTAGTAAATTTAAAAAAAGTTATATTTTAGTTCGCATTTCTTTTGGCATGCATATTCATTTAGTTTAGTTAAGACTAAGTTTATATCACACTTTTTTAACTATTATTCTACTATATTTTATATTCACTATTTTTTTAGAGTTAGCTATTTTAAACATGTGACAAGTGGTATGACACTGTAAGTTTAAATAAGTTGTAAAATTAATTTTTTTATATAGTTGTTTGCGTTTTTTTTGATCTGCATATTTAATCTTGTTTTAATTTATCATATTTTTTAAAAGGTTAGAGACCTTATTTTTTGCTTCTGATAGGTATTGACGTATGTGAAATGTATAGAGTCTTTCAGTTATCAGATAATATCAAGGTAATCTTATACTTTTTTTTAATTTACATTTTAATAAAGATATAATTTACTTGTTCCATTTAACTTTATCTTTAGAAAACAATATCAGAGATAATTAAAATAACAAAATTTAGAATAGAAATTTATATATAATGAATTACCAAAAACATTTTCTATAGTGTTATCAGTAACATTTTATTTCGGTTTTATACTAGGTATGTTATTAAGTTTCCATATTTTCTGTATTTTATTTTATATTATTCTTTAAGGAGTTGAAAGCATGGTGTCCGATTTAAAGTGCGAACCTGTGTACGAGTAACAACAGTATTCAAAACCAAAACCTATTTAAACCAACCAAACCAAAACTAGCGACCAAAAACTAATATCTTGGCATTGGTTTATTTTAAACATTTATTATATATATGTGTGTGTTTTATATAAATGTACTAGCTGGAGTATAGTGTATTAAAAATATTTTTTTTAACTATATTTTTTGTAATTTAAAGTATATTGGATTAAATATTACAAATATTTGATTAGTTTTCAATTTTTGGTTAAAACGTTTTAATGTAGAATATCGAAATAAAGTAATGCAATTAAATAAAAATTCAAACATTAAAAAATATAAGGATTATTTGGTTATGAAGTCACAATTCTGGCCACTCTAATTTTAGATTTTAGTGATTTTAACAAAATAATCACTAAAATAACTTTTCAACACATTTATTTCATAGGAATAACAACCGCGGAAATTTTGCTGCCTAGTGTAATAACTCCTTAGTTTTAACGGATTATTCGTTGCATTCTGCCCCGTTGTTCTTTTTCAATATAATTTGATTTTCATTTAAAATAAAGCACAAATCTGTTGAATATATAACTTCTTTTTTAATAGGACCAGATTGGAAAATAACAAAGATTCCTTTTTTTCAAAGGTTATCAATACAAAAGACGTCTTTCTACGTCTTATTAAAGACGTACAACTAATTGACGTCTTTTCGACCTCTTTTTTTAAGAAGTCTTTTTAAAAGACGTCTTTTCCACGTCTTTATTTAAGCTAATTCTAAAAGGACAGAACTAGTTATAAAAAAGAAGTGCTTTATTTGTCTAAAGATATCTTTTTTTATCATTTTGATGTTGTTATTTCTCTGCTCATACAACGCAAAACATGGAATATACACAACAATAAATTAATTTGTGGGAAGGAAGATCATTTTTATACTTTACTCTATTTATAAAAAAATGTTTCAATTGGTCTTTACCCAGTAAACTCGCCATGTTTGTCCATGCATGACCCACCATCGGTGGGTCATGCATGGAGCAATTATCTTTTTGTAAACTTATTTATCATGATTTGAAAAATACGAAAAAAAATTAAATATACATATGTTGTTCCATAAACAATGTAACTTTTTAAAAAAATATTAACACATTAAAACATTCACTTTTTGATCAATTAAGCTGTAAACCTCGGTTTTTAACTTTATATTATAGTGTAGACTGAACCAAACGTGAAAATATTCCAGTCTCAACGTTAGTTAGTTTTAATATTTGCGCTAACAATATGCCTAGAGAGAATTTTGAACAAAATTTAACGCCGTGTACCACCATCATAAAAAAGATAGTAAAATAAAGAACACCTTAAGATTCGGAGTTTGAAAAGAGCCTATTTTTAAAACAGTAAGAGATACAACTTTTTTTACTCCATTTTCAAATAAACAGATTTGTTTTAGTAATCCGAAATCCAAGAATAGACAGGGGTGTTTTGTTAAGATTTAGAACGTGTCATAATCATAAAAGCAATACAATCGTTGATAGAATTTAGGAGAGTTTTTTATTACTATAATTTGTTATAAAGATAAGTATTTAACTAAAGCTATATTAATTCATATAACATCAAAACACACTTCTTTATGGAAAAAATTGCGGCCTTGGATTGTCATTTTTTATTTTGACTAATTTAAAATTGTCAACCCTCTTTTTGTTGTATGTTCAAAATATATTATTGTAAATAAAATAACATTAACAACTGTTGGTTTATAAAAAATTTGTTATTTATTATGGCCTTTATCAAATTTTACAGTTTAAAAACATTTCATTGGTTACTTAAAAACTTATTGTTTTTTATTTGCTTTTTCTTTAAAATCGCAGTACGTATTGACAAATAATGGAACAACTTTTTTGACAATTTATAAGGACCGACTTTCAATAAAGTGTCAGAATGCAATGTCAAACTATAATTTTTATATTTACAAAATCGTTTTAATTTTACTATCAAAAAAATTAAGTTTAAAAACATATAAATTTTTATTAAAAAAAAATCATAAAAGATAATGTAAAAAAAAATATTCTTACAAACAGTGTTTTTACGTTTTTTAAAAGCAAAGAAAATTTAAATGGAAAGCTTCGATCCGGAAAAGTATGGTGGATACGATGCGTATTTTTTACATGAACTTTTAGACGGTTATGAATGCCCTGTATGTAAAACGGCTCTTCGTAGACCTATTCTAACAATGTGTGGTCATCGACTATGTTTTTCATGCTTGGAAGAAATAAGAAAAAGGTATTGAAACGAGTTTAAAGTTACGTAATGTGATTTGCATTAATACACACACACACACACACACACACACACACACACACACACACACACACACACACAATTACTTAGTAAAACCTTACCATATTTTGTAAAGTGACATTAAGATTTGCTTGAAAAATATAATTTAAAATGAAACACACTAACTTATTTGTATACTAAGTATAATAATATATAACTTATATAATTATAATAATATACAACAAAGTTACAGTTTATTTCACTTAGTCACTTAGTGGCTAAGCCATAACTGTAAGCACACCAAACCATATAAACTAATTTAAAAAATTTTCAACATTTGTCTATTGCATAAAAAAACAAAAAATGTCTTCAGTTCGATAAAACATTTTACAAGTCTGTGAAAAGTAAACATTGACATACTCTCAAACGTATTAATGGCTATGAAATTTAGAGCATTTAAGAAGTTTAAGAGTATGCCAGATTATGTTATATATATATATATATATATATATATATTTTTTTTTTTTTTTTTTTTTTTTATAATTTAGCCGTACAAATATTTACAAGTTCCGTAATTTAAAATATTTAAAAATGGCAAGGACGAGAAGAAGACGGGATTGTCTTATCACCAAGTCCCTTGTTTGTCTAGACATTTATATAAATACATGGTAACTAAAATGCAAATTAAAAAATTAAGAAAAAAGCAAAATATTACAAAGAAGTTTATATAAAATGCCAAATAGTTTAATAGTTCAAAGTTTTGAAAGATATTTTTTCGGTTTTTATTTTTTGAAAGAAAAATTTAAAAGTTCATTCAGAAAAACAAAAATATCAAAAAACTAAAAAACATGAAAAAAGTAAACGTAAAATTTAATTTACAATCTGTTCTTATAAAGTGTAATATATTAATTCCTCAAAAATAAATTACAAAAAATTAATATAAAAATTTAAAACTCAAAAAAGATTACTTTTTTTATTTTTCCTCTCTCTCTCTTATTTAAGAAAACTAATAAAGTTTTTTAAACTAATGAAATCTAAAAATGCTATATATATATATATATATATATATATATATATATATATATATATATAAATATATATAAGGGAGAGAGGGAGGAAAAGAGGGTGAGAAAGAGAGAGAGAGAGAAAGGGTGAGAGAGGGAGAAAAAGAAAGAGAGCAAGAGTGAGAGAAAGGCAGTTTATTATTATGCATTTAACACATCTTTTTGCGTCGTTGACGTTTTACTTGATACCGAGTTAATGAATAGCTGTATTATTTATCTGATAATACTAATACGCTAATTTAATATTATTAGTCGAATTACGTCATTTTCTAGGCTTTTCTATTTTAAAGTAGTTTCAAGGCTTTTCTATACGCGTTTTTTTTTTTTTTTAAATTTACTAACAATGTGTACTACGGGTCGCTTAATGCTAGTATGACATTATTATTTATATATCAAAACTTATTATAAATACAAAACTTTTTCTTTTTTAGAAACAATGGAGTTTTAATGTGCCCATTAGACAAAACCGTTTTAAATTCTGAGGAGGTTACTTTATTTTTCAAAAAATATTAATTTAATCTACTTAAATAAAAATTATTTATTTTTTAATAAAGGAATGTTTCCTATAAAAAATTGATAAAATGTTTTTTTCAGATTTTTCCTGATAAATTTACTGAAAGAGAGATTCTGCAATTGAAAGTTAAATGTGATAACTTTTCAAAAAGTTGTCAATGGACCGGAGAACTAAAATCAATTGATGTATGTATTTCAAATTTTGATGTAAAGTATAAAATACTTAACTTTAGGTTTTTTCAAACAAGAGACATTTTAAGTTATAAAACATGAATTAATAGTTTAATTATAAAATAGCAAAGGCCGTGATTTTCTGATTCAACAGAATATGTTATTTGAGTCACTAAGAAAAGTACATCGATGTAATAATGAATTTAAAGACTAGGGGTGTAATGCAAGAAGCAAACTTGAGTAAAGACAATACTTTGAAGTCTGTTTTGTCAGGTTAGTTTAAAAAAGCTTGAGCAATTGCGTAAACTAAATTTGAAACCATCAATATTGAGCTTGAAAAAGTCATACTTTAAAAACTTAAATGGCGTTGATTTGATTAATGCAAATTAACTATATGTTTTTAAATTATATATAAGAATTTTATACTTTATAATTTTAATTTACACAAGTATACTAAAATTTGTTACAAAAAAACAATTTCTACTTTTATATTTTTTAATTTAAAACTACGTAATATTAAAAAAAGCAACAAACTTTAGGTAAACATGCTAGTGTTACCATCAAACTAGTAACTCTCTATAACGTTACACCTGTTTTACATGAAAATGATAGGGAAAAATCAGGTAGCCCCGAACACTTAAAGAAAAAAATAAATAGTATACATATACTTGCAGAAAATAAAGACTTTTTTAAAAATATAAACAATATTCTGTTGAATTAGAAATAAAAAAATAATTAATGTGTACCTTAAAAGTATACATAACATAAAAGAAAAAATGATTGAAAAAAAGTATGCTTCAAAATTGAAGTACATCCTTTAGTTGAGGGGAGTATATTGGAGGGTAATTTCATCATGATTTTATCTCTCTACTACTCCTGTAATACAAATATAATATATAATTAGTTAGCATTGAATTTTTCTTAACACTTTGAAAAAAAATCTACTTCAAAATTTGTTTTTGATATATAAGGAACGGGAATGGAAATGTCATCATTTAGAATTGTAAAAATTAGCATTTAACTAATGAAAACAATCACTTAAAAGTCAGTTTTTTCAAATCTTAGGTCTTTATATTAGAATAAAACGAGTTACTGTTATGAGTTTGTGTATCATATTAAGTATATTATTATTATTGGTATAAAAAAGTTGCTAATATTAGGTATTTAAATACGTTGAGGTTACCATCCTTCAAGCATGTATTTAATACAATCCAGTCATACCTCAATAACAAATACTACTTTCAAAATCAGCGAATCAAAGTATATAACAGTTTGTTTTTTTTCATAATAATTGTAAATAAAAGTTTACCTTTACTCAATAAAAAGTAATAAGTTTACATAAAAAATATATTAATTTGTGAATCAAATATGATGATACGTTTCTCTTTTGGTGGTGGAAAACATTAGCTTACACTCCCAGCCAGTAGCTTTTTTCTTTTGGTAAAGCATTTGCCACTTTTACATAAACCTTTGATTAAACTTGGAAAATAAGCTTTGTTAACATTTTTGTGTTTGAAGATTCATAATACATTTTTACAAGTACGATTAACGTCATAATTTACTCCAATGTCCATTGGCTGTAAAATATGAGATAAATTTATTGGTAGGCAGACCACTTAGCGTTGTTTTTTTAAATATTTTTAATAACTTTTAATAATACATGAGTGTTCTGAATGCAATACACCAATATACACCAATCCATTTAACTGCCGGTATAAATATCTGTTCCAACCACTCAAAAGTTGCAATTTTATCATTTATCCTATAACTGATTTTGTATACACTGTGCCTTTTGGACTGTTTTTGCATTATGATTGATACAAATTTCCTTTTGATTTATAAACGATGAAAGAAGGCAACGCATTTGTTTATGATGTAACCATAAAAAAATAAAAAAGTAAAAAACGCGCTCATAAAAGTGCGCTAAATACGTTTTCGGTATAATATTGAAATTTTTCCTAGATCATAACTGAAACCACAACTATCGCGGTTCCATACTTGTGAAGCTTTTAAGTTATCAATTATTAGCCTCGTTGTATTGTTGCTTGTAATTTTTAAAATACTTTTTAAATTGTATTGGATGGTATAAGCAAATAATGTAATGTTATCTGCTCTGTGTAACGCTACATCATGCTTCCATCTTTCTTGAAAATCATACTACCACTGTAACTGAATCAGTGTTTTTTAAAAGGGCTGATTTGCTCAAAACCCGTTTTTAAGAAAGCTAAAAAAAACTAATTATATCTTTTAATATTAAATACGCAGATTTTGTTTAATATATTTTTAAAAGATATATGCAAGTGTAACCTCTTAGTACACTTTGATAATTGTTATAACATTTCATTTGTTAATAATAAAAATATGAAAGTTCCAAAAATTTGCCCTTTTAAAAAAAATCAAATATTTCAGGAAGAAAAACAATTTAAAACTCCGTAAGAACTACAGCTATGTACTTTAAAACAATATTTTAACGTGCCAGTAATAAATATAATATATATATATATATATATATATATATATATATATATATATATATATATATATATATATATATATATATATATATATATATATATATATATATATATATATATATATATATATATATATATATATATATATATATATATATATATGAATTAATAACAAAAAAAAGTTCTCAGTAAGCATTAAGTCTCAGCATTTAATCTAGTTCTTCTTCAAAGTCACTATCAGGAAGAATCTCACATTCATTAGTTGGCCAGTAGTACAGCGCGTTATAAAACTCGTTGAATTCTTCAGGAATGAATTTTTTTAATTTGTTAAGGTCTTCCACCTTTGCTTTTTTCAGTGTAACTTTGCCACTTGGATAATCTAAACTAACCACCTGTGGTACAGTACCCATATGTTTGGACATAAAAAATGTATGACATACCAAACCATTAATATTGGTGAATGCCTTAATGTAGCCTTTTTTATCATGCTCATGATACAAAATGAAACAAGTTACTGATTAGAAAGTGAACCTTCTTACCTTTTGGGGTGTTTTTACCCTTGGTTTCTGAAGAAATACAAGATTTTTTGTAAATGTTTTGGGCTCCAAGCTTTAAAATCAAAAAATTCAGTTCCATCCAAGTTGCAACTTCATTAGGCTCTTTTCTTCCTTGACCTTCACGGTATATATACATACATGACTTTTTTCTGCTTTAATGTTATGTATAGAAAAAACATTGACTGATAGCTGTCTCATATAATAAAGTTGTTGGACAGGTAACTTTGGCAAGCTTATTGTCTTCATAAAGTCAAATGCCAATGATAGAATGTGTTCTTCTATTAAGCCATTTTCTGATGTTTCATGTTTTAAACCATTGTAAAATTTCTTACTCCTGCACTTATGAACATCTAAATCAGTCTGCGCTGCTCTTTTAGCTACATCATTGAGATGTGGTGATTTCAATCTAAGATTTAATTCTTCACAAGTGCAACAAGTATCCACTAGTGGGCGCCCAAACCGTAAGTTAAAATTAGTATTAAATGGTTCCAGTAAAAAGAGTTGCTCACTTTAAAATCTTGATTTTTTTTACAAAAAAGTTGCCTTATTGTTTTTACATTTAAACTTGTGTTGAAGTAATATACTTTTTTCCCCTGAGTAATGCAATTCCTTGAGTGGAAATGATCTTGTGATAATGATTATGTGATAGCTAACAATGTCATAAACATTCTGAGGAAGACAATTAGTAATAACTTTTCCTCTTTTATCTTCAGGGGTTATTCCAATTACCTTAAGGTTCCTTATTCTCCGTAATAGTTTTTCACTAATACTTAAGACAGATAATTATGCACTGCAACATATCTCTATGCGTACATTGCCTACAATCACATGATAGAAGAAGATACTTGGCTGCTTTAGGTTTTCAAAATCTTTTTGATATGGCACTCTACTTTTAACTTTAGTGACCTCTATTAATCCTTGAATATAAAAATCTTGCTTTTCTTTGCTTTTTATATCATAAAATTTGAAAAAGATATCCACACATTTAGCCTCTTCAAAGTTCTCTAAACACTATTTCTTGCACCTTTATAAAAAAATCAGAACAATTAATATAAAACAAATACAAGCTAAAAAAACATTTTACTAAAATACAGAGCATTATTTATAATCTTAAACAGAGAAAAACATCGCCAACAAAGATGTGGGGAATTAGACTATAGCATAACAGCTGGTTTAGTCTTAGGGTTCGATTTATAGGGTTAAAATGATTTGAAGTATGCTGTTTTTTGTAAGTTTTAGACATATAAACATATAATACACCTAAATTATTTTAAACTCATGCTATATATATTATATATACATATATATATATATATATATATATATATATATATATATATATATATATATATATATATATATATATATATATATATATATATATATATATATATATATATATATATATTTATATATATATATATATATATATATATATATATATATATATATATATATATATATATATATATATATATATATATATATATATATATATTAGGGCTGGGCAAGTTAACGCGTTATTATCGCGTTAACGCATTAATTAATTAACGCCGACAATAATTTTATCGCGCGTTAACGTACTTTTTATTTTGAAAGTCTAAAAAGTGAAAAGTAAACTTTTTAATTTAAATTTAATAGTTCATTAAACTTAAATGTGACAGGGCTGCACAAAATTCATCAAAACAGACCTGTCAATCTTTAGTTCACATAACTATTAAATTTAAATTAAAAAATTAATCTCCAGATTTTATTATTGTAAAAAAATATATTTTTTTGCTAAGTTTTTATAAAAATTTTTTTTCCACCTATTAGTCTTTACAATGAGTTCATTATGAGTTTCTGCCGCTCGTTTTTTTTTAAGATTCACAAGCTTAACTTTATTTTTCTTTTGTGAAACTGTCTGTCAAAGTTTTCGTTTCTCATTTTATATTTTTTGCTTATTATTGCTTATAATTTTTTTTATATTAATTTATATTAGTATTAATATATTAAAAAAGTTAATTTGCATTTTGTATTTTTATGTTTATTTATAGTTTTGTTTATTTATTTTGTATTGTTTCAAAATTATGTAATAATCGAATTA